CGGTAAAGCAATGCGGATTGCGGAAGTTGAAAATTTTATGAAATGACATGTTTGCGAAGTGCAAACCGCGATTTTTTAATCAAACAAAAATTTATGACATTCGAGCCGCGAGATTTCATACCTACTGAAATTATATGATATTAGAGCCACGATATTTCAGACAAAAATAGGACTTTTCCAGACTAGATGAGTAGAAGTGCATTAAATTTTGATTTCAAGATTTGTAGCAGACAGACAAACAAACAAACAGACAAGAAGTGAAGTTAAAGAGAAGTGTTGTACCTAAAATGCCACTGTGCAGAGAGTGAACGAAGATTCAAAGACCTACGGCGACGCATTATCGGCAAAATTTTCACCTTCAGAAGATCTTGCCGACACATTTAGATTGAAATTCTTGCATTTAATATATTTCTTATATCACATCAATAATAGGATAATGTCACATCAATAATACGGTAATTAATGTATATGGCAATATCATATCAATAAAGGAAAAACAAGTAAAAATCACAGAAAATGTCATTTATTCTACCTCTACATCATCTACAATGAAAGAGGAGGACTTCAGAGTACTGTTACTAATGGATGAGTACGCTCTGCATGCTTCAAATGTTTTGAAATCAAGTTTTATTCCCGTTGTCCCGAGTAGCCCCAACCGACGGGGCTACTCGGGACAATCTCTATTTTGCGTCTGGCACCTTACGAATAGCATATGGCATTTTTTTGACATCGCCATTCGATAGCCCTGCCAATCATCTATAAAATGAGACTAAACTTGTTTATGAAATGTTTCATCATAAGAAGTTATTAACTGTTATTTAAAACTAATCGTTCAAATCTGTCCCGAGTAGCCCCGGTTGACGGTATTCACTATTTGGTAGAACAAGGTCAACTGTCAAATTTGACACATTTTTCGATGATCTCACTGGGTAGCGTGCATTATCTCTCTTTGGATCTCAATATTTTCCCACTAGATGGCCAAGACCTAGTGTTTTGGCATTAGTTCAACACGCAAATGTATGACATCACCATTTCAACCATCAACAAACGCATGGAACTAAAACAAAGCTTAATATAAAGGAAAAACTAAAGAGGTGACGGAATTACCTACTATGATGGAATATACCGCGTTTACCCTACGTTTAAAAATTACTTTTTAAAGACTACACTTCCAAAGAATCCAGTATCACCAATCTTACAGATGTACAATGAATTTCTCATCTAATTTGCAAAAATTAAAAAATTAACTTTTCAATTTTTTTAATATATATAAATTTTTTAACATATAAATTTTCTTCTAAATTATTTAGGTATTCTGTTAATTGATTTGTGCATTGCCTCTGACTTCACACAACTTCACAAGTGTGCAAAATTTCATATCAATTAGACAGGTAAAAGTGTGTCAAATATCAGTTAGCTATAAGATTTGGAGCTGACAAATTATTTTTTAAATTTTTGTAATTTTGAAAAAAATACCCAATTTTCAAAATAATTTATTTTGACATTTGATTCATGCATTGTCTCCAACTTTACACAAGTGTGCAAAATTTCAGATTGATAGGATAAGTAGAAGTGTATTAAATTTCGATTACAAGATTTGTAGCAGACAGACTGACAAACAGACAGACAAACAAACAAACAGACATCAGACAAGAAGTGAAGTTAAAGAGAAGTGTTGTAAAATGAAAGATTTTCTGATTCTAAATTTCTCAATTTTTTGCTTTTTGGCTTTTGGTGCAACTTTTAGTTTGATTACCTATTTGAGGAGAATAAATTCTAGAATTTTTCTCTTTAAATTTAATTGATACTTATTACCTACTTTAAACATAGTGGCATATCGGTGATTTTTTAGAATCAGTTCATTTTTAATTTCTTCATTCACTCAAGATTTTAATGAATTTCTTATGTATGATAATTCTGGTATCCAAGATACTTTACTGGTCTACTTATACTAGGACTCAAAAATGAACTTGATTTAGAGTCTAAAAAAGGCTCTGCTTTGCCACTAGGTATGCCTACTTAGCATAGTGAACTTAGTATAGACTATAGACAGCAACAAGGTAGCTAGCCTACAGTCTGCCTACTTATAGTAATCCAGTCAGAGACAAGATAATTAACACACATTCTAACAGATTGATCACTGAGAATGTTATTATTATTATGCGAGATAACAGAGTAACACTCAGTAACTTATAATCCCTCATTTAGGCTTATCGAACTAAACCCACCATTTGAAAGGATCGTAATACAAATTCAATATGGTTCCTTTGATTCCTCCTCTTTCAGCAGGGGCCGAAGTCCCGCTACCGGGTCCGGGTACAACTTGAAACATTACCGTTGCAGGTATAAATATAGTTATTCAAAAACGAGCGATAAAACTATTTACAAATATATAAGATAGGACATTTAAACCCAATTTCAATCTCGCGAATGCAATACGAAACCTGCTAATCAACAAAAGAAACGTGGAGAAATACCGGTAGATGCCAATCATGCCATGAGACGCGAACCTTAAGAGCTCGAAATTACCCGATGATTATGCACAAATATTCAATCTATTTATAAATTATTATTTTGTGAGAATGCATGTGCAATAAAAATTTTCTATTGAAATTTTCATGTAATTGGAAATTGTGAGTTTATAACAACATAACTTTTCCGTTGTATATAAAAAATATTTCGCACAATTTAATTAGACGCACATTGAGACGCATGTCATTCGGGAGCGCTGCCGTAGCCCAAAAATTTGACTCTTAAATCAGCCCAAGAGCCAATGACAACCCTCTACATGCAATAGAAATAGTCAGCCTAACTCATATGCAGCTGTTCTTACTTGCCTCATCTTACCACACCAGCTTGAAACAAGCAATGCCTCAGCCCACAAGCTGATACTCCAAACGGATTACTCCCAATAGCTCCTACACCAATGATTTAAGCCCATACCATCACTTCTTACAATTGCCGTAAGCCACAGGGTCCGCAGACCGCACCAGACTGCCGTAAATGGGAACGGCCCCGCATGATCTGTTTTTAGCGCATTTTCTCATTTATGTAAAAATGCACTATTGTGCTCGCCATGTCCGTCCGTCTGTCTGTCCGTCCATGACTTCACGTTTTCGTCGACGAGAAAATGCGCTCTCTGTCACTCATTGCTGTGAGTACTGAGTTATATTTTTTTAACCTCTCCTGGGTTTAGGTCTCCGACAAATTAACGGCCGGACTCGCGGCCGATCTCACGGCCAATTTCCAAATTCAATGATCAAGGAATATCTCTCGAACTAATGAACGTAACTCGATGAAACTTGGTACACGTATTCATTAGGACCTAACGGTAATTTAAAGCTCGTAAAAATTCTTTTTAATTTTGCCTTCAATTGTTTTGCCATAGTTCTATGACAATACGGGCCGAAATTCGCAGTGATCGAGGAATTTCTTCCAAACTACTGAACAGATCGAAACGAAATTCTGAATTTATAGTCCTAACTACCGATCGGTGATGTTTAGCTCGTGAAAATTTTTTCGATTGCTCCTTCGTTCGCGAGTTTCATTCGTGATTTAAACAGCAATACGTGCTTAAATTCGCAGTAATCAAGAAATTTCTCCAAAGTACTGAACAGATTTTAACGAAATCTAGTATTTTAATACCTATTCTCAGCAACGGTGATGCTTAGCTCGTTACAATTTTTTCGTTTTGCTTTCTTTTGCGATTTATACAGCCATACGTAAACGGCTCTTGGTTAAACCAGCCCGTAGAAAAGCCGGTCGTTCCTCCTATATCTGTATAACTCGCGAAAGAAAGCAAAATAGACGAATTGTCAAGAGTTAAACATCACTGTTGGGAGGTTAAGTATTTATATACAAAGTTTCGTTGAAACCTGTTCAGTCGATTAGAAGAAATTTCTTGAACGCCGCGAATTTAAGCGACAAATTACCCGGCGATAAGGGACGTATATATGGAAGTGTGAAATCAAGAATGACAGTGAAATGAAAAAAATCTCGCAAACGAAGGTAAATCCAAAAATTTTTTTTGAATCTAAAAAACACCATTTGGTAGTTAGGAATGTATATTCAAAATTTCGATCAAATCTGTTCGGTAGTTCGGAAGAAATTCTTTGATCACTGCGAATTTCGGCCTGAATCGCAATATAACTCACGAATGAAGGTGAAATTTAAAACAATTTCACAAGCTAAATATCACCGTTAACTTCTGATGAATACGTGTTCCAAGTTTTATTGAGGTGCGTTCATTAGTTTGGGAGATATTACTTGATAATTGAATTTGGAGATTGGCCGTGAGACCGGCGACGAGTCCGGCCGTAAATTTGCCCGAGACGTCCTATAGGTTTCTAGTGCTGAAACAGTTAAAACAGCTGAAAGCACATTGGTTCACTAAAAGGGGTTCTATTTGTGAAATACATATTTGTGTTTAACCTTTATCTTTTAAAATTGCAGCGTACTAAATTTTATAGAAAGAGGCGCATGATTTTATGTCTGTGGGGGGCGCTAGAAATTCAGTAGGGAGCCAAAGGGGGCGCCAGCCTGAAAAAGTTTGGGGACCACTGGGCTATCGCATTGGATTAAATGGCAGTTGTCGCACCCTAAAATTAGTTAATGCAAGGGAATAATCCGCGTAGGGCTATCGCATTCAACAACTACTCGTAGTTTGAAAATAATATTTAGAATCCTAAATTTGCGGATTGTCAGTTAACTATCGATCATAAGCTCAAGTATGGGATGAAATATTGCGCAACGCAACTGTTAACTCGCAAAGCCAATCCGGCTTTGATATTATTAATCCAAGTTGTACGAGCCAGGATGAGTGTAGGAGTGAAGGACTGTAAAAAATAATTATCATAGAAAAAACGGATCGTCGTTAACTCTGTCTTCATCGATAATTAATATACATATGAGAATATTTTATAATTTTTATAAATTATAAGACCAGGAAAAAACAACTGGCTGTATTCCTCCAATTTGAAAACCAGGCCGAAAGCTCGTGCGTACATGTGCATGTCAAGTCGGGCCATCAAGTGTGTTGATTGGTTTAGTTATCACAGACAATTTCTGGGTCGGCCTTGCAATCGGTCTCCAAGATTTTACTCGTGCATTCTACTTTTCTCTATATCAGCATGCAACAAAACAGGTCCGCCAATAAACAGTAATTGAAAACAGTAATTGAAAAACAAGTCTGGGAACTCCAACAACGGTACATGAACTAACTGGTAATTTAAAAATACGAGAAAATTCTTACTGTAGCTTGATAAGAAATTGACATGCTGAAGAAGTAAACATAGAAAATTTAAATGCTTGCCAATTTCAGTAGATATTATGTTTTGAGAATTATTGGAAGTAATTACAGTTGCTGAACAGATATGAGATTATTGAGAGGAAGTGTCCATATTTTTTCCGATAAACAGTACCATCAATTTTTATCGGTTTCGGTAATCAACATTTTCAGGACCAAATTTTGGCAAAACGATAAAGACTGGCACAATAAAAAACATTGAAAAACTATCTAAATCTAAAATCCATGATATTAAAACCATCGTAAATTTCTGAGACGACAGTAAAATAAAAATAAAATGCAAAGTATTACTTGTCCTTCAACGATTTGAAAAAATTTATCGCACGCATTGCAGCAATTAAGGTGTAAGTTTTATACCTTTACATTTGAATTTCGATGCGCCACGGCGTATTTTACCACGTTTTTCTTAGCTCGCTTTCGTGTCTGTGATGATCAAATCTTGCAATCGATATTTCACCAACTTTCCCATTAGCTAGCGCTCTGAAACTTTTAGGGAAGCTCAGCTCCCGATAACAATACAATAATAAAGCAAACAGAGATCAGTAGCTGCCGAAAAATTATTTTCTACTTTTGAGTCCACATGAAAAACGTGGTCTTTAAATTTTTTTTCATAAATTTTATTTGCTATTGATCTCTGATACGGCAAAGGCTCATGTGATGATAACCTCGCAGAATTATTGTGTGATGAAATTTTGCATTGAAGTTAATAGGTATCGTAGAAGAACGGCCGCCACATGAGGACATATCCAAAAACCCGTTTATTGGATATGAGTTGCAGGTTCAAATTCGAGAGCTTGGTTTCTCAGCAAATGGAGCTATATATATGAGAAAAGAGAGGCGGGGGAAATTGGGAAATTATCCTATTGATGTACATTAGATTAAGAGTTTAAAGTGAAAAATATGAAAATAAAGTACATGCAGCTCCCCATTTAATACCAATGAAGACACTAGTCTTCATTAATTGGTAGACATTTCTGATTAATTCATGTCATAGCATGTGGTGCCATTTGGAGCCGATTATGACGCGATATAGTGTTTTTGTACGGAGAAACAACATACAAAGTAATTGAAGGCATCGGATAACTTATTTTGGCTACGGTAACTTTCTTTTCTGAAAAGTTCTATTCGTCAAAAATTTTTCATAATAACATTTTCTGTTGCACAAAAGAGAATTTTATTGTTTTGAAACCATCATTGTTAATTTCCATTATAGAATATTTGGATAGTTTGGAAGACCGGACACATTGAGATACATATACATACAAGCACACATTGAGATACATAATAGTCATCGCACTTCTCAACTGTATGCAGTTCTCAAAAATTCCTACTAAGATCGTCAGAAATATTTTAAAACTAAAATCAAACGCTTATATGTAAATCGTTGTATTGAACATGAAATTTTTCCTAATTTATTGGTGATAATGTGAAAATAAGTATATGATGCTCAAAGTTTTTGTTGAATGATCATGAAACAGTATTTGAACTTTTAATTATGGCGAAATATAAATTTAAATAACAACAATGACGGAAACGAATTGAAAATCTCCATTTCTAACCATCAACTAAGCGCTTGTACAGAGCGATGAAGTGCTCGAAGAAACAACTGTCCTGTTGTTTATCTCAGCCGTCAACGTCTATATACATTGCAACTTTGAATTTAAATCCTTCACACGATGACTATGAGTATAAATTAATTTCTATTTTGAGGAATAGTTTTAAGTCATTGCATGTTAATAATTCATTGAAGTATTTGATAGCAGTGTTCACGTCGTTTTGTGCTGACGAGTGACGATGCTGTTTGTTTACGTGGCTGAATGTCTCCTGCGAAAATGTATTCATTCCAAAATCCAATAATTTATTTCCTCTATTTCGCTTATCGAATTTAAAACATGCTCACAGTAATTTGAAGACTATTTTACTATCATTCTCATTTAGTCTTTAAGGGGACCGACTACCCTCCGGAAAAACTTCAACAGTTATTATCCGATCATGAAATTTCACATACATACGTAAAATGTAAAAATAAGAACATTTTGCTTCTATGAATTTTTCGAAAAAATTGATAGAAAACGTGGTATTCATAGAAAACGGACAAAAACGGGTCCTATAGAAAATCTATCTCCTCCTACAAATATCGTTCTACAACATCCAGACACATATCATTCGATTCGTAAAGACCATATCTATCGACCTAGCCATCGCTT